AAGGGACTAAGAAAAATTTGTAAAAAAACAAGATCATTAGCTGGAACCTGTCACAATACCCTATACCGTTTTAACGGTAGACTATCTCGTCTGGACGGTACCCAGAGACCGCTTGGTATAAGTTCCACGAGAGCTGAATGGCCTATGCTTGTACCCAGCTGATGGGATAATATCCCTCGGGCCTAATTAAAGATATTGGGCCGGTCCACAAGAGAAGCCCGCTAGGGAATCCTAACCCTAGGTTCCTATTATGATACTATATAAGGGGCACAAATCCAAGAAAGAAGAGGGAGCCACCTTCTACATTCCCCACATGGTGATCCATCACAACTCACAAGGCTTGGATCGATCACTTGAGCTGACCGTTCCAAACATTTTTAAGCCCAAAAATGCTATTTTTGAAGGTATAAAATCCTATTTTTGTTACCAATCAATTATGATTAATATAAAGATGATTTCTCGAAATAAAAATGATGTTTTTGATAAATAATATCTTATTTGATGTATGACGGTAAGCTAGAGTGTTAACACTCGATGCTAGACCGCTATTTATTATTGGATATTATGATGATTATTATTGATTGATAATTATGATGAATATTATTGATTAATGATTATGATGATTAAACTTTGATGGATATTCTGATTAAAGTGACAATTATGAATATTTGATTAAAAGTGAATATATTGATGATTTTGAAAATAATGTATTGTTAAAGGGTGTCTAAAAGAGCTCTAAGATATACCTATGTGACCAATTCAGCAATCTGGGGTTAAAACGTACGTACGGGATTCAAACCAAACTCGAGGATCACTCATTTGGGGATATCACCCTTCCGACAGTTCACTATTTAGTTGGTGCGTGATTCATAAGACTTGTAGGATGGATCATCGATTCTTGTGTTCTGCCTTAAACTAATTAAAGTTTAAGAGCCCGATTAGAAATATTGCCTTAGACTAAGAATAATATGATCGAGAGCTTTGTTATCAAAATGATTTGGTCTTATATTAAGAATAATATAAGAGCACTGTTGAAATACTGAATATGGAATATCGTATATATCATGAATTGGCTTGAATTAAATTATTGTGAATATCACGAGTGATGAATGCTTGAATTGAATATTATATGAATGATATCAAATGATTTGATTATGAATTGAGATTCAATTTTATATGGATGTTCGATGCATAGATATCCTTACTCAGCTTTATCGCTGAGCGTGTAGTATGTTTTATTTGCTACACGCAGGTAAACAAAAAGAATGAAGTGATGAATTCATGGTGACATATAGGGCGAGATGGTCGGGATGGATGTCTGAATTTGAATTACTGTTCTAAAAGACATAAATTTAATTTGTTTGTAACTGTGATTTATTAAGCTTTCGCAACTTTAAATACTCTGTTATTATTCTGAATAATTTATTCTGAAATAAATTTTGAAAATGTTTGAAATGTTTTGAATGTTTATGAATACCAAGTTTATACTTTAATCCGAAAGGGGTTGCAGACTTGGACGGATTAGGGTGTTAAAGGAATGATGAATTTCGAACCCATACCGGAGGTTAATGAGAGCGAGGCGATGTACGGATGGATGGACGTGGATTTACCTTTGTTTCTTAATAAAGTTTACCTTTTTGGGCTTGAACCCAACCTTGTCGTATTTCCATTTATGGACTATTACTTTTAAGCTTTTGCACTGGATTGCTTACATTTCCTCTGTTATGTTAGTTGGACTATTTTCCATTAGTTTCTTTTAAACTATATTTGGCAAAGAGTTGTTTTTTTTGGATGGTCCTTAATACCATCTGAGTAACCCCTCTGACCCATTGGGCCGCGGGTAATTGGGTCTTACGAGTTGGGGGTGTTACAGAAATTTAGTGGAGTTTAGGTTGTTTTCTTTTCTTGTGAAACTGAAGTTACGACAAATTTATATTTAGTTTCCTACTTACTTTAAGAACCTGTCAGCCCCTTTCATCATCATCTTAACAAAGTATTTTGTCACAAGGGTAATTGCTTCATAAAGGAACTTCTCATAGCAGAAGAGATCCATCTCAGAGCAACTGAAGCATTGAATGCCAAATTCTTATTCTTTGAATTTTGTTGTTCATCATGTGCTAATTCTATCCTGGCACACTCAAGATTCTTACAAAGTTTATTGACAGTTAGTTGAGATATCTCATGGTCCTCTTAATGCTAAGAGTTTTGACATGGAACTTATTGGCTAAGGCTTTGAGAATTTTACAAATCATTCTTTGGTCATCAAATTTGTTACCAAGATCAAGCGTTTCATTCATGATATTTATCACTCTTGTTCGAAAATTGGTGATGGATTCCTATTCTCTCACCTTGAGATTTATCTAATCTTGTTTGAACCACTAATGGTCCCTGAACTTTTTTTTTAAAAATTCATTAATGGTCGCTCTGTGCAAGATTTAAGAGAGTGTTTCTAGCACGCTCATCAATATACCTGTTGGAGCTTGATGAAGATGTCATAGATTGATGAAAAGGTTGATTGATTGATAAAGATCGTGATTGACTGATGTTAGGAATTCGAGTTTGGTTACCGACGGCTAAAGTGTGAATAATTATCTAGGCTTTCACGTAATTAAAATATAGGAAACAATGTTTGGGAAAATACATTGTAGAACTCACGCGTGTGATATATATATGAGTTTAGATGAATCCACACTTATACTGTACGAGCGTTTGATTATACCCTTAAATTTGGCACAAAAGGATCTTTGCTGCAAAGTTTTTAAAAAATCAGGGACCACTGGTGCAATTTTTAAAATGGCACAAAAAGCTATAAAAAATAATTATGAGTCTTTTTACTATTCACACATCTGCAACTTGTATGGCCATAAGAAAATAACATTACAATAGTTTTGCGGTGTTACTCCGTGTTTAAGAAAAGGAGGGGTAAAAATAACCTTTTGATGGTTTTAGACTTACCAAAAAAGAAAAGCGAATGAATATAGTAGGACAATTCAAAAAAGAATATTGGAAAAAGTAGTGGGACAGAGGGAGTATCATGGAATTTGGTAGGTCTATTTATGACAATAAATAATAGTTTGACAAAAAGATGAGATAACTCTCTTCTCACAGATGCTTAGTATACTACTTTCGATCAAGTCATAGGTTGATCTATTAATGAATAGTTTCATGAATCAGTGTACTCGAGACTGCTTCAGAGGCATCGTGTAACAGATTGAGCTTAGACATATGTTAGAAAGTTAAATTTCATTTTGGTCTCTCTAAGTGCATTCATGAATCAATTTAGTCTTTAAATGTTGCCTCTAGTTCCATTAATCCATGTAGCTACAAAATGTAAATCAAATTAGTCCATCTAATAAAATTTATCTTAACAATGTTACTAAAATTAATACAAATGTTACGTAAATTAATATAAGGAGCTAACACACATGATTGTTTCCTTTAATTTGAATTAAAGCAATATATCAAGACTAAATTAACTCACAAATACACTTAGCAGGTTAAAATGAGTTTTAAGAGCTTATTTTCTTCAACTTATTTTTTATTGAGATTAGATTATATCAAATCAGATTAGAAACAGTTTTTAATATAACTACAATCAAAACAGATCAGACTAAATCAAATAAGATCAAAATTTAATACTCCCTCTTTCCAAAAATAATCTTCTCATTCACTATTCACAGAGTCAAACTTTAGTTACTTTGTTGGTGCATTTTCGATAGTCATTTGATAAAATAATGTAGTCATGTCACATCTAGTTTTGTAGATCTTTTGATGTTGTTTTTAAATATGTACTCCGTAATTTTTATTTTTTAATTCTATACCATTTTTCAAATTAAATGATTTGAAAATAATTTCAGTTAAACACTGTAACACGCATTGATAAGATTATTGAAAAGACTTAGACGTTGGGAGTAAAACTAAATCACATTCAATCGGGATATAGGGAGATGCTAGGGGTACACCTTTGGTGTACCCTAAATGTACACCACCCCACTCTTTACCATTCATTTTATTTTGTTTTTATTTTTTTTTTGAATTTTACTTGCCTTTTTATGTGGTTATGGAGGGGGTGGGAGATGTTTGGGGTACACTTTTGGTGTATCCCTAGCATTTTCCCATTCAATCACATTAGATGAAAACAAACTCAGGGTAAATTTCACAAATAGTACTTGAACTTTAGCTAGAATTTCAAAGTGGTATCTAAACTTCAAATCCTTTCAAAAAAAATTCCTGAACTTACACAATCCTTTCACTAAAAGTCCATTTGCCCGTTTCTAGGTTAACTTCCGGTCATTTGGGCCAAATTAGAATTTTATATATTTTAAAATTTTCAATTTGACCCCATTTGTTTTATTCTTTTCTTTCGCTCCCCGCCGCCGTCACACCACCTCAAACTCGCCGAAAAATCAACCTGGTCCGATTCCGGGGGGACCAACTCCATCGGAACCGGACCAGGTTGATTTTCCGGCGAGTTTGAGGTGGTGTGGCGGCTGCGGGGAGCGGAAGAAAAGAATAAAAGAAATGGGGTCAAATTGAAAATTTTAAAATATATAAAATTCTAATTTGGCCCAAATGACCGGAAGTTAACTTAGAAACGGGCAAATGGACTTTTAGTGAAAGGATTGCGTAAGTTCAGGGATTTTTTGAAAGGATTTGAAATTTAAGTACCACTTCGAAATTCCAACTAAAGTTCAGGTAACATTGATGAAATTTATCCAACAAGCTCACCTTAGAAGTTTGATTCCTCCGTAATAAACAAAACTCTTTACTTTTTAGCAACCCAAACGCGAGTGGTTCCACTCGGCTTAGTTAACTGCCAGGCGTTTGTACTTTGTACTCCCTCCGTCCCCCTGTATTTGTCCACAATTGACTTTTGGAACTGTTCATCTAAGCACTTTGACTCATCAAATTCTCTCAATGTGTAAGCCTAAATATAGTCATGTGTGATCTTGTTTGATTTGTCTTAACATATAGATTATTAATACATAATTTTTTTAACTTTTTAATATACAAATTACAAGATAAAATGGATTAAAGAAGTGCATTGGATGGTGTGTAAAAATGAAAGTGAACAAATACTGGGAAGGAAAGTGGGAAGGAAGGGAGTACATGGTTCGTCAACCCCGTCCCACTTCAAACCCATCCCCACTTTCTTTTTTTTTCTTCTTTGCGTATCCTCCTAATTTCGTCGAGCACATTTGCTTGCTGATAGTCCCTATCTGAATTCAGAAAATGTCTCTGCGACCGGGTACGCGAACCGAAGTACGGAAGAAGTCGTACAAGATCGGAGTGGATGGCGACGAAGCACGGCGGCGGAGGGAGGACAACCTGGTTGAGATCAGGAAGAGTAAGCGCGAGGAGAACCTTCTCAAGAAGCGTCGCGAGGGTCTCCTCCTTGACGCTACTCAAAACGCTGCTTCTAATGAGAGACGGGTACTGCTATTTCTTATTACTGTATTATTGTTTTTATTTGCAAATTCGCTGCAGATTGCGAAATGTGGTGATCGTTTTGTGGGAGTGCTCTACTTTTTTCATCGCTGAAAAATTCATAAATATCATCATTAGGGTATTTTAACTGATTCTTGTCCAGAATCTGTCAACTACTGGTGGAGTAGAGGTATCAGATCTGTTTTGTTTTGTTGTGATCTCCATTTAGGGAAGATCATCAAACGTGATTCTTTTTTTTCGTGGTGAGTTGAACTACTACTTGCATGTATGGCATCATTAGATTTGACTTATTGATTAGGTTAAGTCCACATGCTTCTGTGTTTTATTTATATCATATTTATTTCCTTAGTGCATTGGAAAAAAAGCATTTGGTATTGTTCCTTGATGAATCATAAAAGGAAAGTGTGTTAGCATTCATAAATGCAAACTAGCTTAGTCATTGAAGACAAAAATCTTGTATCTTAAATTGCCTAAATTGTACTGATAAATTACAAGTGTTACAAGTAACAACAACCACCCTCTTGGATCCCACAAGAGCAGGGAGGGTGTGTGTACGCAAACCTTATCCCTACTCGCAAGTAGATATGCTGTTTCCAAGAAACCCCAGCTCAAGTAACATATGCCGAGCACAGAAAGCACATAGAGCATAGAGTACGAAAAAGAACCAAAGAGAGAACTAAGGTAAATGAAAGAAAACAAGTAGAAAGCACCCAGCATCAAAAGCACACAACAAGTGCACAGACTACCACCAAAGCCGAATGCCTACCCAACTACCCTAGGATTCAATCTACCTTTCTTATTTTTCTGTTTTGCACGTATATTTCCAATACAATTCTTTTTGGGAGTATAGGTAAATAGTAAAATTACATCATTTTTGTTATTTTAATAACCACCTTTTATACATCAATATATATGGTGGAGGCATGGAATGCACTTGAAAAAAGAGTACCAGACCTGAATTTTGAGGATAAGAATAGTGAAATGAAGGAAGACCAACTGAGATGGATATCATGATTAATGAATGAAGGGATCCAATACTGGTTTTCAAAGCAATACACCATTGTGGAAAATAATAATTGACACATAAAAAGAAAAATGAAATGGAGGAAATCCTTGGAATTGATGTCATGGATAATGAATGAAGGGATTCAATATGGGTCTCAAAAGTAAGAACCTTATATGGAAAGTAATAATTGACACATAGGGCTGTTCATCGGTCCAAGACCGGACCGAACCGGACCGACCCGGACCGGACCAAAGACCGAAATGAGTAAATTCTAGGACCGAAGACCGGACCTAAATCCATTCGGGTTTGGACCGGACCGGACCGAAATATTTAGGACCGAACCGGTCCAAACCGATTGGACCGAAAAAATTATATTTTTTTAATTATTTAGATCAATTAAATATATTTTAGACTTTTTACTTTGTACTATTCAAATAGAAAATGAATAAAAAAAATAGGTAGCCTTAAAATGGATACACAATATGAACTACTTCAATGTAGAACCAAAAAACAAATATGAAATGTTTTTTTTTAAGATTTTTTTAAAATTACTTAATAAAAAACACTTTAAATTAAATAAATTAAAATATTTATTAAAATAGAGCATCAAAGTATAATACGAAATTTAAAAAGTAGAGTTTTAGTATTTAGGTCTTTTAGGTCCAGTAGGTCATTAGGTCCAACCGGTCCAATCGGTCCGGACCTAAATCATTTCGGGTTTGGACCGGACCGGACCGAAACCCGAATGCCAAAATTTTCTGGACCGAAGACCGACCCGAAATCCATTCGGTCCGGGTTTGGTCTGGACCTATCGGTCCGGTTCGGTCGGTTTTTTCGGTCCGGACCTAAATGTGAACAGCCCTATTGACACACACAGGTGTCTATACACACATGCACTTATAGGCATATCTGCATATCAATATATGTATAAATGCGTCTATATATACATGTTTGTGTGTCTATTCCTATTAGGAAGTTTTTGAGAGCACAACTTGCCAAAGTGTCATGTTATTGTTTTTCAGTATTTTGAATGTAGCAATGTACAATGCAAATGAATTTTAATTAGAGTTATATTACATATCTAATGTTTTAGACAATATGAGTTAACACAAGTATGTATAATGCTCACAAAAATAGAATTTAGTAAATAGGAATTTTTAGAAAAACAACTCCATCATCTTCGTTGAGCCAAAGAATCACTATTTTCTCCTTTGGGGTATGATGGAATAAAAAAACACGACTCTTTAAATTTTTTGCGCTTCTTTATAGTGAAGTAGGAGTTAGTCAATACAACTTTCGACGTTCATCACGAGTCATCTAGAAACAGCTACTACATGTATTAAACATAGGGGTCAGGCATACACCCGATCCCCTTACCTCGCAATGGCGGGAACCTTTGAAGCACTGGGGTAATGTGCTTGTTATAATGTGTAGAAAAATAAACTTTTTGTTAATCAAAGTCATATTCCATACTCCGAACTTTTTCCTTTCATAGTTACCATAATTAATGTTTAGGGAAATAGATTAAGAGTACATAATCTCATACTTCCTTTGTCCCACAAAAATATTCCACAATGGAACTGACACAAATATTAACAAAGATGAAATTGTGGGGTTAAAAGTTGTGCGGTGTAGAGAAAGAATATGAGCTACACAGTTTTTGGCATAAATGGATAGTGGACATATGAAAAAAATGTGGACCCTTTCTATGGGAGAGACAGAATATAATGTTCATTTGTGGAACTTATAAAGGAAAAATCCAGTGGGACCCCTTTTATTTGGCAATCAACTTCTAATGTCTTACTTTGTGTGGACAACGTGGAATTCAACTCAATCTTAATAAAATTAGGCTCTGTTCTTTTCGGTTGGAAAAATTAACTTCCAACTCTCTCCAGTTTCTTCCAACTCTTTCCCGTTTTTTCCAACTCTTTCTAGTTTCTTCCAACAACTTGAAAAATGTATTTACATATGATGACTATACAATAACATTATATACCCAAATTTCTAACATAACACCTCAAACACGGTCAAAAATGAATTCTTTTTTATATGCAAAATTAGTTTTCTTACATATTTATTTGGGTGATCATTTAATTGAGTGATTTTTTAACACATTATGTTTCACAGTTTCTTCCAACTCCTTGTTTCTTCCCACTCCTTCCAGTTTCTTCCAACTCCTTCCATTTTCCTTCAACATCCAACTTTAGAATTTCAACTGAAAAAACAGAGCCTTGCCAAAGCTCTATTTAGGCAAATATGGGTAGGAAAAATATTTTAGGGTGTAAAAATAATTGGTGGGAAATGATTCCCAAATCCTGTGCTTTGCATCCCCATCCCCATATGATAGTCCCAATCCTCCGATTCCGAAAATCTTAATCTTCACATAGTCGACACTATATTGAGATTCGTTTTTAAAACGAGTTGGGAATTCAAAAATCTCAATATCCCCATAGAAATGAAAATAGATAATTACATAAAATAAATTAATTCTAACATTGCTACACATACATTTTGTTTCAACACTAAACTTTATTTCTTTAATTTTTAAACTCTTTGCTTATATGATCTTCTACACTGATACATTTGTATTTAAGTATTTCTTTTTACTTTTGTGATTTTCTATTCTTGCAATGATATTACATTTTATATTGGTGATATTTTCTTTTTAATTTTTTTAGATTCGCTAGTTTACTTTAAGCTCTTTTTGTAGGGCATGTTTTGTTGGTGATTTTATGAAAGTTTGAGACAAAATAATATACTCCGTATTATATTATATATGAATTTCATTGTTGGGATTCATCGGATATTCGGATCGGAGTCCCGACTTAAACGAGATTTTATTTTCGGGACCTCGACTTCATCAAGACGGGATTTTAGATCATCTTCAGCCTTTAGCTAGGATTAGAATTTTGGTAATCAGTATCTTACCAATCCCACCCTAGTCTCACAATTTTACCATTCTCTTCTATCTTCCATCGTGTGAGGTCATACTCTTGTTATGTAATCCAAAACTTGTTAGTCCTTGATAGAATTTAGGATGGGATACAAACAAGTGGATTGGGTAATAAGACACTTGGGTTGAACCACATTAAAAGATTGAATCCAATCGATTAGTTAGTTCAACTCAAGAGCTTATATACTGAATATTTTGCTCTTGAACTTCCAATGTGGGATGACACTCTAACACTCCCCCTCAAGTGGACAACCGGGCCATTTTGAATCTAACCGGTTGACCACTTGCAAATAAACTCCCATTCCCTTGATTTTTTTGAGTGCCAACACCTAAAGGACGACGAGCCGCGGGGTATGGACTTCCAGACGAGCAATCGTGTTAAACGGGCCACATGCCGTTGGGTACATGCTCCATACGGACAACTGGGTTAAAGACTAACGGGCCGCTAGGAATGAACGTCTAGACGGACACCTTGACTAACGAGGTGGGCCAAAACCTGCTCCGATACCATGATAGAATTTAGGGTGGGATACAAACAAGTGGATTGGGTAATAAGACACTTGGGTTGAACCACATTAAAAGATTGAATCCAATCGATTAGTTAGTTCAACTCAAGAGCTTATATACCGATTATTTTGTTCTTGAACTTCCGATGTGGGATGACACTCTAACACTTAATCAAATTGAAAATATTGGTTGTCAAATTTGCAATTTCCTCATTCTCTTCTTGTCTATTTCACATGTGGTACGCATGAGGCTTATGACGGCGATCAATTTATATTGCTTTCTAATGATGAACTTGAAAGCATTTCAAGAGTTTAATGAATGCTAGTTCCATTTTTATCACATACTCTATTGATGTCTTATGGTTAGCTTGAATGCGTTACAAGATTTAAATCTTGAGTGCTAGTTCAATTTCTATTTCATGTGAAATAGTTATCTTACATGTAATTTTTCTAATTTTAAGAATTACCTGCTCCTTATATTTTCTATTGTGTAATAGCTTGAAGGCATTCCATTGATGGTTCAAGGGGTATGGTCTGAGGATCCATCTTCACAAATCGAAGCGACTACACAATTCAGAAAGCTGTTATCCATCGGTATTTTATACAATAAAGGCTAAAACTCTTTTTTATTATTCTTTGGCCTAACTAAATGGTATTTCTTTTGCATTATTCATAGAGCGCAGCCCTCCAATAGATGAGGTGATTAAAGCTGGAGTTGTACCACGCTTTGTACAGTTTCTGGAAAGGAGTGACTTGCCTCAATTGCAAGTATGTATTAGGTTATAAACGCCATATTTATTTTACTTTTGGGAGCTATTTATTTATTTATCTATTTATGAATTTTCATTGGCTTTTTGTGGCAGTTTGAAGCTGCCTGGGCATTGACAAATGTTGCATCTGGCACATCAGAACATACACGAGTTGTCATTGAACAGGGTGCTGTTCCTAAGTTTATACAGCTTCTTAACTCACCCAATGACGATGTTCGTGAGCAGGTAATAATATTATCTTATAATTCATTTATTTGTTTGATACAGAGAAATGGAATTGTCTTCTTGATATAAAGGCAGGCTCTATTTAAACTCCCCATCTTTTGGTATTTAATGGATAGTATTCTCTGTAGTAAACTTATAAATAAAAGCATTTGAATACCATTAGGAACAAAACAATTTCATGTTCACAAATCACAATTTCACATAAAACAAACATAGTTCCTAAAGGTTGTCGTGAAATATTCTTTTGCCTTCTTAGGCAAGTAGAAACCTTTCCAATTTCCCAAAAAATTTAAACTGGTTTTTTGTTCTTGATATTGGAGAAATGAAAAAAAAATCCATATTTTCCAATTTTATATTTCATTTGAAAAGTGTAGGTGAACAATATCCGCTAGTAGCACTGTCTACACTATAAGCATACCTCCACCAGCCATATGTGAAGAATACATCACAACCTCGGTGGATGAGCGATGATGTCCCCGATGGTTTACAATGCTTTTAACCCAGCCCGCAACGACAACAGTGTATCTCTCGTATGGTTTTCTTCTCTGATCTTACACATGAGAACTAGCCTTGGAGCTTGGGCGATGTTTACTCTTATGCTTGCTTGTGTAGCAGTGGTCGGTGGACCTTCACTATATTTTCTTCTGAACTTCTACTATGTGACTGTATTTCTCCATGAATATGGAGTATTAGAGCCTTAAAGTGGACAACTCATCCCCCTTTTGGAGAATTTTAGAAATGAAAAAAAGGAAACAATAGTTGAAAGCTAGATGATGCAATTGTAGAAAAAACCATACTAGATACAACAAATCTATACTAGACAACAACAGCACACCTAGTAGATATCTCATAGTCTCAATATGGTGTATGTATGGAGACCTTACTCCTACCCAGAAACGGCAGAAAGTAGAGAGACCGTATCCAAGAGACTCCCGACTCAAGAAACACCTGAGCACAACGACAAAAGAAAATAGCACTGACAAAGAAAGCACACAAACATGACAAACATACAAATAGAAATTACAAACTATGGTACAAAAGCACACTACCAGAAACCACCAACGAAGGCCCGAAGGACTACTCTTCCACCCTTATCCTAGACTTCCAAATGCTCCTATATAAGGCCATATCCTCATGTCTAATCACCTCCTTTTAACTATTTTTAGGTCTCTCTCTACCCCTCCTCAGCCTCCTACCTCAAGCCTCTCACACCTCCTTACTAGGGCATCCATACTTCTCCTCAGTGTGTGTCCAAATCATCCCAGTGTAGCTTCCCGCAGGCCAGAGCTAATCTTCCTTAGAGGTCACTCCCACTCTGCCTTGAATATCCTCTTTCCAAATCTTGTGCATCCTCATATGACTTCACATCCACTCCAGCATTCTCATATGTACCACTTGTAGCCTCTGAACTTAAGCATCCTTATCTGCCCCAAACTGTCTCATACAACATAGCCGATCTGACCACTTTCTAATAAAACTTCTCTTTCAGGTTTGTCAATGTCCTCTTGTCACAAAGGATATTAGAAGCTTGCTTCCCCTTTTCTGAAGAAGCATCAATACAATGGAAACATTCCCATTTATTTTCCCCTTAGCCGGAATGATAGATCCAATGTTCTAAAACTTGACCCTTTTAGGCACTTGATGTGAAGCGATCCTCACTCTCACCTTCAACTCACTCGTCTTACTATTAAAGCATCATTTCACATACTCGATCTTTGTTCCACTCAATTTGAAACATTTGGGTTCCAAGGTCGGTCTCCACACTTCTAACCTATCATTGAATCCCTTTCGTGTTTCGTTCTGATTAGAACAATGACAGCAAAAAACAACAAGCACCAAGGTACACCTTCCCAATATGTTGTGTTTGAACATGCATCACCGAAGCAAATGGGAAAGGACTATGGGCTTGTTCTATTCAAATTATGTGATTGGTTCTGATCTGATTTGATTAAGTTTTGATTCCAATAAGAATATAAAAATAAGTAATAAGTAAAAAAAAAATAAGTTGAAGACAACAAGCTCTAAGGGCTGACCAGTTATGTAAATTTCTCTCCACAGGGAAGTAGTCTGAGTCACCACCTAACAACCTCACCCTGGTATTTGCCCTATCATATATGTCCTTAATAGACTGAATATAAGTAATTGGTACCCCTCTGTTCTCTAGGCATCTAGGAATTTCCATAAGATCTCACTAGGAGCCCTGTTGTAAGCTTTCTCCAAGTCAATGAACACCATGAGGAGGTCCCCATTTTTGTCCTTATACTGTTCCATCAGTCTCCTCAAGAGGTAAATGACTTCAGTGGTTTCTCAGCCTAGCATGAAGCCAAATTAATTCTTGCAAGTGTTCACCTCCTTTCTCAACCGAGTCTCAGTAATTCCTTCCCAAACCTTCATTGTGGGATTAAGTAGTTTTTTGTCCCTATAATTATTGCAGCTTTGGATATCGTCCTTGTCCTTATGCAACGAGAGTACCGTGATCTCTCCACTAGCATATTAGCTGTTCTGAAAATAACATTAAACAACATGGTAATTGAAACCAACTCATCTTTTTCCACAATCTTCCAAAACTCCACCTAAATCTCATCTAGCCCCATGGCTCTCCCCCTTTCGTCCTGCCAATAGGTCTCACTCTCTCTTCCTGTACAATGCACCTATAGTATCTAAAATTACGATGACTCGCGGACTACCCCAGCACACCTCGTTGAAGACTCACATCCTTGCCAACATTTAGAGAGCTATGAAAGTATTGCTGCTATCAGATTCTCAGCTCCTCCCCAAAGTATGGCTGTCTCTTGGAATCACTTTAACATCCTTAGAGAGCACATTGTAATTGCAGAAAGTCGCCATGTAATCCTCAGCCCTCACACTTCTAAATGAAAGAGTTAGTAATCACTAGATCACTCACTCTAGCAAAGTCTAAGCGTGAAATCCCAACTATTGAAGTAACATTCGGCGATGAGTGTATATCCCTACCACCCAACTCCTCCCAAAACTCCCTTTTAGCTTCCTCATGACTTTGCCACTCGATTGCAGAAAGTCACCAAGTGATCCTCACGCTTCTAAAAGAAAGAGTTACTGATCACTAGATCACTCGCTCTAGCCAAGTCTAAGAGTTAAACCCCAACATTCTTTTCACCAAAACAAAACCCATTGTAAACCTCCTCATAACCATCCGTGGCACTCATGATCATTGAAGTCACCTCCAATGATGAGTGTTCTCGGGATATCCCTACCACCCAACTTGTCACAAAACTCCCTTTTAGCTTCCTTGTCCAGGCCAGCTTGGGGTGCATAAGCACTCACTACATTGATTATACACCCCCATAGCACAAGTTTAATCCGCAGTCAATCACTAACACTCCTCACCTCGACCACGAGCTCACGACCTGATCAACCAAAATGCCAGTCCCATTCTTGTCCATACTAGACAAGCCCTTATAATTCTTTGTGTGTGCGTGTGTATACGTATGTATGTATGTATGTATGTATGTATGTATGTATGTATGTATGTAATGTTGGGCGAATTGAGTGTGGAGGCTTGACCAAGAAGGGCAGCCGGCCCTAGTCTTGGTTCGACCCATATGGCAGTAAATTAGGTTTTTAATTTAGCCGGCCCTAATTCTCTATGTGGGCTTGGGCCTAACTTGGGGATTAAGTTTTCAACCCCAGTTTAGTCTTCATAAATAGCGATCTCTGTACTTGTAATTCTGTGAGCACCTGAATAATAAAAACCCTAGTTGTAAAGTGGATTTGTCAGCCGACCGAACCATTATAAATCTTGTGTTCCGTTTTTCTCCGTTTTGATTTCTGTTTTGTGTGCGTTCTTGTTTGGCTGTGGTTTGCTATTCAGTATTCATAAATACCCCAACATGTAATGTGTATATGTGTGTCGGTAATTGTGTATTAGTGATATATACATCTTTGTATACATTTATCTACAGTTATAGATATGTTTGTGTGTTGTGTTTACGTGCTATATATATTAAACAGGCTGTCTGGGCTTTGGGCAATGTTGCTGGTGATTCCCCAACCTGTAGGGATCTCGTACTTGGTCAAGGTGCACTCCTGTCATTGTTAGGTCAGTTAAATGAGCATTCAAAGCTTTCTATGCTGAGAAATGCTACATGGACATTGTCAAACTTCTGCCGTGGCAAGCCACCTACACCATTTGACCAGGTACGAAGAGATGAATTACACAATCCACCAGTATGTTATCTACAACATATAATTTGCTTCATATTTGGACCCATTCAGGTCAAAGCTGCATTGCCAGTTCTTCGGCATCTTATCCATATGAATGATGAAGAAGTTCTTACAGATGCTTCTTGGGCACTATCATATCTATCCGATGGACCAAATGATAAAATTCAAGCTGTAATTGATGCAGATGTCTGTCCCCGGCTTGTAGAGCTTCTGCTGTATGTTTCAGTTACCTTCACAAATGTGTTGTTATTATTTTTCTATATCTCGTCCAAAGATTACTCCCTATTGGCCACCTCCAAAGAAGAAAAATAGCTAGATTAAATGTATTCTTTAAATCAGGGACATCATAATGGTGCAAACTTTTTTCCATTTGTGTTGGTATTTCTATTTTGATTCTTTTCTAGTAAGTACCTGTGGAGTACGGTGATAAGTAATTTTTACTTCTCATGTGTATCTAGTCATCCATCAGCTACAGTGCTCATACCTGCTCTTCGAACCGTGGGGAATATTGTGACAGGTGATGATGCTCAAACACAGGTATCATGATATGAATAGGTTGCAAATAGTATCATATTCTTACATTCTCCCTTTTCCTTATGGTTGGTTTCTGACTTCCTGTTCCTGGCATGCTCAAGATGTAGAGATTGAATGGTGGTTATTGCAAAAAATATTTGCTCCTTCAGAGAAAATGTATGCTAGCATTAATATTACTAGTCTGTACTATAGTCACTATACTCTGTCCTATTAACCACTTTCCTTATTAGTTTTTCCAACAATTACGTCCACTATCCTTTTCGGATAATATCAACTGTGTACCTTTTCCAACATACCCTTAATTGATTTGGCACATTAATCTATTTAAACAGCTTCTCACAAAGGTTACTCATTTTTTCAAATAGGAAAATCAACCAAATACATTTTGTTTCCTTAATATATCCCTGCAAGAAAGAAATTAAAACTAATAAAATGGGATGGAGGAGTGTAAAAAATAGCATACCATAATATTTGATTTTTAAGGGGACAACTGAGAATTCTGAAGCTCTAAGTTTGCTTTGTATTTTATTATTGTGAATTACGTTTCATCATTGGTTATTCAATCTTTTGCAGAATTTTCTTGATATTCTTTGGTTTATTTCTTTTTCAAATCGTGGTTTTTTTATTTTACTAGTTCGTAATTGACAAACAAGTGCTCCCATGTCTGTATCAACTTCTTACTCAAAATCACAAGAAAAGCATAATAAAAGAAGCATGTTGGACGATCTCTAACATCACTGCTGGAAATAGACATCAAATACAGGTATACATTCATTTGCAAATTTCCGTGTCCAGTTTTATATGATTTGACATTACTGCATTTCACATTTGCTTTTGACTGTAATAATTTAAAATGCTTTTGAAAGCCAAGAACTTGAACATTTGAGTCTTTTTTTTCTGATCTACTTATCAACAGTATCAATTGCAATCAGTGTTCGTATACATTTTCTCGGCATGTAAAGCAAGTCTGCAAACTTTGGAACTTAATATGCTTAAAAAATCTTGCTCTAACCTACTAATTCCAAGCTGCAGAAAAGGTTCAAGAAAACTCTTTCAACATAATCTAAGAATTAGGTTTTGTCTAGCAGCTCCTCCAACACATGCTTGAACATATACACTGCATTGAACAAAAATCACTGAAGCAATAGTCTAGTTAATGCTGCAGGTCTGTTAAATCTGGAAGAAAATCAATTATATGAAATAAATTTAAATTTATATAATACTAGAAACAAAGAAAACGATAGGAAAGAATGGTGGATTGGGGAAGGCACAAGGTTGGGTAGGCTACCAAGGCATGTCATTGATATCTACTTTTTAGGCGACGGGGGGGGGGGGGGGGGGG